AAACGCGGCTTGTTTATTGTGCCCATAAAGTAAACCCAAAATAAAGATTTCATATACACAACATACGCTGTGCAACAGGTGAAAATGGGTATATCGGCTTGTAGTTTCAATGTCATTTCATTAGATTTGAGGCATAGCTGTGGATTTTGTGGTAAATATTTATACACTATTTGGCTTGTTAGATGGGTATATTAGCTTGCGCTAGAGTACTGTTTACTGAATTCTTGATATAAATAAAAAGATTCGTTGGGAAATGCGTATATTAACTAGGGATACATTTTCATTAACTGCCGTAGTAGATAGATTATAAGAATATAGTATAAGTCATTTAAAAGTGGTATACTGACTTGCTATACAATGCTATTTTTAACTGTAAAAGCTGAAATATATATCATATCTATTAAATATGAGGTTTGAACTGCGTAACTCTAACTAATATATATATAGTATATAACCCATATAGTATTCTTGCTCGACTATAAATATTGCTTTATCACATACAACACACATTCTTGATCTAATGAGTTTTTTGAGTGTTAAGTCATCGCTGCGAATCAGCAAATTTGTGTCTGCTTTGTTTGCTTGAATATATATAGGCTATATGTACCTATATATATATATAGTCATAATCAATAATACCTATCAGAATTGCAATTTTTATCAAAATTTGCACCAAGCCTTAAAACATTAAGAAAGCAAATAGCAGAAAGCAGGTTGACTAAGGAACAACTAAATTTTTAAGTTAAATATAAATTAATACATTATACAACACATAAATTTCTTGTCTAAACAGCTATATACTGTATATTTAAAAATTGCACACTTCAATTGCTTTAAGTTTATTATAAAATATATACGTATATATAAAATATATATAATATTCATTTGGCATCTGCATATACAAGTTTTTGAGTCAGCACCTGCATACTTGATATTTCAGAGTTATATATAGTTTATAAAAATTCTTTTTACATATATATAGATTCGGATATTCCTAGAGATGTGTAAGCCCTGGTCTCACAACTTAACACTACTATAGATAACAAATCAACTTTCTCCCACATACTGAACCTCATTCAGTACCTAAAATAGGGCATTGTCTAGTCGTTCTAATCTATATAAACTTCTCTCGTTTTGCTTGCAGTGCCTAATACGACGAACGCACGAGCTGTTTGTGGAGCACACGCTCCTCCGCACAAACAAGACTGAAAAATTTGTATATCGCTGCGGCTGATAAGGCAAATGGGCGCTGGTAAAAGGCCAAGACAATGGCCAAAAAGCGAGCGTAATTAACAAAATGTGCGCCGAGCGACAAGTGAATGAAAATAGCTGAAAAATATACGTGAATAGAGACAAAAGTCAGCCAAACAAAAAGTAAGCCAACGAATTAAAACAAAAAGTGTATAAAAGTGACTAAAATACAAAAACCAGTGTTGAGAAGTGGCGCGAGTAGAATTGCATTGAGCGCTGAACTTGACAGCGCTACGGAGGCGCCTACGGCCGGTTCCCAGGCAACCGAATTGCAACTGTTTGTGCGTGTGTGTGTGTGTGAGTGAGTGTTGGCTTGTGCATGTTAGCCTGTGTTCACTGTACAGTTCGAGTACAGTGTGTAACGCTATGTGTCTGCGTGCGGAAATGGCTTAGCGCAAAAATGTTTTGATTAAAAGTGAACGTTTGTGTGTCAAGCGGGTTCAAGTGAAGCGAAAGCGTCAAATACCAAAAACAAACTGAACTGCAACAAGAAGAAAAGGAGAAACAACAACAGCAACAGTAACGGCAACAGCAACAGCAACTCATTAAGCAGCAACAGCTACAACAATGGCCGCCGACGCAATTGCAGGCAGCAGCAACACAGCAGCAACAACAGCAACAATAACAACAACAACAACAGCAACAGCAACAGCAATAACAACAGCAACAGCAGCAACTGCAACAACCCCTATAACACCTACAACAACATCTATAGAAACAGCAACAGTAACTGCCCCTATAACACCTACAACAACATCAACAACAGCAACAGCAACAACAACATCAACAACAACAGCAGCAATCTCACCTACAACAACAACACCTTCACCTACAACATCTTCACCTACAACACCTACAACAACAACACCTGTGGACAGTCCCGCTCAGCAGCTGAACAACAGCGTCGACAGCGGCATCGCCGTTCTCGACGTGGATCATCAAGCACTGAAACGGCGTCAGCGTCTGCAGCAATGCCAACGGATTCTGCAGCTGCTGCAGCGCGATCAGCCCACATATCAAGAGCTGCGCGATAGATTAAGGTGAGTCCCATAATGAATCTAGTAAGGCACAAATTTACATTTGACTTAAGGCGCAAATAACTTGAATTTCAAGTGATTCGAGTGAGATTTTTAAAGTAAGCTGATGACGAATGTCGGGAAGTGCTGCAGGCTTATCTTTTTCTGGATCTCTCTATGTCTATGCCGCTGGAACTCTTCATGTCGCGAATCATCTGTCTCTCAGTCTTTCTCTCTCTCTCTTTCTCTATCTCTCTCTGTTCATCTCGCTCTCTTTCTTCTCGATGAGTCTCCTTCTCTCTCTCTTGTGTCAAGCCTTCAGTTTTTCTCTCTCTTTTATTCTCTGTTTAATTGCTCTCTATATAATTACTTTCTCTCTATCTGACTCTAATTCTCGATCTATTTCCATTTTTTTTCTGTCTGTCTCTCTCTTTCTCTCAGAGTCTCTCGTCCTGCTTCTCAGTCTATATTAAATCAAATCTTTGTTTAATTTGATGGATTATAACTCTAGATTCGATGTTCTCTTCTATAGCCAGTTCAAAAATTTCCTTATCTTTTCTATTCAAAGATTCTTCAATCGCTATATATTAGTGTTTAATTTCATAAAATTTATGATTTGAATGATTTATGAAATATTTTCTAGAATAAATAATTACTAATTTCTAGTTATATAAGTTCCGGGATAAACTTGATTTCATGATGCTGCTCAAGCTCTTATATAAGCTTGAATTTTTTTTTGGTTACTGGTCTTTCGATTTATCGAAATGAATAATGAATGTCTATTATTTTGTGAATGTAAATTTCGCAATTATTTTGTCAAATATTTGACACATGCGAACGAAGCTAATTAACAATTTTACGATGGCCCACGGCACAAGCTATGTATAAGATGTTAGAAAAAAATTGAAGAGGCTGTCGGACGGATGTGGTTGATGATGGGCTTGGCAGACATTTGGCATACGGTAGATGGATGCTCTCAAGTGCAGCTGCTGTTTGTCAATTGCTGATTTGATTTGCATTTTTATTTTTCATTGTAATGTGCTTTGGGTGCGTTGCGAAGCTGACAAACTTCAGATTTGCAATTTGCAAAATTTGTCGACCTCAATGACAAAAATAAAATATTCGCAGGTGCAGTCGCAGTCGCATCTGGGAAGGGAATTATATATATASAGAGAGAGAGACACAAATGTTCCCACTCGACACACAATGAACTGAAAAAAAGTGATAAAACTCTTTTCATTACTCATCTTCAAAATGTATTTTATTGCCATGTCAGGCGCACTGAGAGCTGAACAACATATATATATTGTGTATAAGTATGTTTGTATATCTGCCTAACAGTTCGTGTAATATCATTATGATGTTTTTTTTGCTCAAAGAATAAACTTAGCGTATTATGAGTAGTTTTTATTCTCTTGTGAGTTAGCGTTGGCAAAATTAGCTGAATTTCTATGTATATCAATTGGGAAGTTTATTTTGGAATTTTTTTTTAATTTTTTAGATTTAAATTTTTTTACGAATTTAGATCAAAATCTATTAGAGTTTAAAATATTCAAATAAAGCTTAGGTTTCTCGAATTGCCTTAAAATGGGCATTACACAATTGCAAAGGACTTTTGCGTTTATCGAACTACTTTGACGCTATCGATAATCATTGAGATTAATAGAAATCTATAGATATGTAAATATCCATTGAGAAGAATCTACAGAACATAATGAATGTAAGCCATAAACCTTTCAAAACTTGTTCAAACTATCGATATTTATCGATATATCTACAGATTTGTATAGACTTTTATCTTTCTCTATCTTTATTTAGAGCCTAGTATCATTCACACATTGTTTCTCTTTAGTTTTAGCTCGTTTCGCAATAGTAACACCAACGTTCGCTCAGACTTTAATGCCCATTGAATCTTATCGGCTCTATAAGCGAGCGCAATTTGAGTTTATCTTATCGCTGCATTCATAATTAATTTGATGAATGCCAATTAATTGGGTCCGCCAAAGAGAGAAACAAACAGACAGACGCGCGAGCACGTGAAACGGGCTTTGGTCGTAATTCATTTTCATTTTGTCATTGGCCGAGCTGTTTTTCCAAGTGTTACCATCGATTTTCTTTGATTTGAGCCGTTTGGCTTTGCCTTTGTCCACGATTTGCATAAATGACAAAGAGCTAATTGGTCAAATGACAAAAGTTATTCAGCTGTCTTTCACAGCTCACGCCTCTTTAACCCTATTTGTTTCTCTAGCTCTGTCTTGGTCTTTCTCTCTCTCTCTGCTTTCATTCTTTGTTATCGGCCTGTATTATTTTAACCTGTGACTAAACTAACTAAAGTCCAGTTCCACTTTGGATACTCGCCACAACGCACACACCAAAATAAAAACCCCTACAAAATTCAAACAAAATTTATATAAAACTAAATTAAAATCCGGCCTAAATATGTATCGAAAATTGTTGCTCTTGATCGTCTCGGCCCAATTATAAGGCGATTGTGATATAACCTTAAAAAACTTGACACTTATCTGTGAAATTTTTCATTGCGTTGCGTCTTTCTTATTTCTTCAAGTTTTTTTTGTTTGTTTTTCTCTCTATTATTATTATTTTTTTTTTTTTGCGATTATTTATTTATCGCGCGTTGTTATCAAATCAAAAGCCGCAAAAAAACGAATGCCAGGCATTTTTTTAAACAAAAAACAAACAAGACTATATAATACCCCTCACTCCACACATATATATACATATATATGAGACGACAAACTGCAAAAAAAAAAGTGTAAGGCAACGTAAAGCCAACGACGCAGTCGCAAACTCAAGTTAAGTCAGTTAAGATCGTCGCGAATCGTGCGAGAGACATCCTAAGTCAGCTGGCGGGAAAATTAGGTAAATTTCTGATAAACGTATATGCAGATAGAGCCGACAGCTGACAGCAGATAGCTGTAGGCTCAATTCCGTCCGTGCTCAGGCAATCAATTAACAAGTTCTTATATAAATACATACACACATGTAGTATATACAAAATAAATGCCGAAATCAAGATTTGATTGATAAACGCTGTAAAAAATGCTTGATTGCAAAATAAAGTTCTTGGCTCGCTCAATTATTTATTCAAACTTGAAGTCGTGAAGTGTAAAAAAGTGTAAAACAAAAACCGACGAGAAAAAACTATTAAAAATCACTTTGATGTCTGCTCAAGTGTATAGAAACAATTTGCAATTCGTAATTCGCATTTGTCATGTTTAATCACATGCTTTTGCCTTTTTTTGCTCGAGACAACTGCTGATGACCAGTGTTAGATAACGAGTCAACTTGCATCTCGATAGACAAAAAAACAAAAAACAAAATTTCAGAAAAGAAATTGAAAATTCTCTCAAGCAAAAACCGAGAATTTCTTTGCGTTAATCAGTTATGTTTAATCTGCAAGCAAACAAAATACAAAATCGTGATTAATAGTGTTTAAAAATAACTCTAGCAAGAGCACATAGCAAGCGATAAGCACAGGTAAACAGCTAAGCAGCTAAAACAGGTAAAAAGTCTAGACGCAGTTGTAGTAGAAATTGCAATTTTCTGTGTAGCCAAACGAATTTTCAATGCAAATTATGTTATTTGACGGAAATTAACTTAAGTGCTCGAATGACATCAGCTTAAAATAACAATGTGTTTTGCTTAAATGCCTAAATGACACTGGCTTCAAATAAATCATGCGTATCAATTTGATCAATGCTTAATACAGACAGCATTAATATATATTTTCTTTTTGATAAATTCGTTCAATTTGTATATTGATTAATGCTAAAAGCCAGCTGAAAGTTCATTGCTTTATGAACTTTTCGATGGCTTTTAACGTTAATCAATATACCAATTTAACGAATTTATCAATCAGCAAGGATATTAATACTAATTTTATTTAAATCAAATTTATTTCGTCTAACAAAATGTGAGAGATTTAATTTAAATAAACGAACTGTGCATATATTTTATTATTGTAGTTGAATGAAAATTTTTTTTAAATGTATTCTTGCTCATAAAATGTGCATAAATATATTTTTCCTATATTTTAAAATATTTAGTACATTGTAGAAAAAAAAGACTTTTTTAAATTGCGCGTTGACTCTAATGAAAATAATCTAAAATATTTATTTTCATATAAAAAACGCGCTAAATTTTAATGTGTAATCAAATCAAATTTGTGATATATTTTGCATATCAATAATTATGGTGAGCTAGACTCAAAGTATAGAGTATAAAGTGTAGAGCTATTATTTCCTATAACAAAGTTGCCCATTCAAATGTATTCATTTTAATTAAGTGCGAAAAAAAAAATGTTTTTCTACCTTTTGCAGCTGCTAAGTGTAAAGAATATTAAAAATAAATGCAAATTCCAAGTTCAATTTGATTTAGTTCTAAAAATCTGTTTTTTTTTTTTCTGATTTTTAAGATTATTACTAAAAGCTGTTTAGTAAATGTTTGACGTCTATCTAATAATAATATAAGCCAGTGTCATTTAGGCATAACAATTTATAGTTTAAGCAAGGCTCATTATTATTTTAGATAGAGCTATCAACTTAAGCAAGTGTCATTTAAGCATAAAATGTAATGCTGAAACCTTGTCCAATATTTCACATACTTAACACCTCTTACACCTTCTTTAAGCGAGTGTCTTTCAATAATCAATCGATATATTTTTTTTTATTTCTATGCTTAACAACTTTTGACGTAGTTAGATCTCCTTAAATCATAAATTCGAAGTTTTTTTAAATTTCACTTTGAACTGAAATACTACACGTAGGGCATTACACTGAACTCATTTATTTAACTAAGAGCTAACTTACATGCGTAAATAAATACGTACATACAAATATATACATACAGTACCGAGCAAAAATGAGTGAATGTTACAGAACTTTGACTTTCATCACGCATAAAAATTAAACCATACAAGCAAATCAACAAATTTTTTTGTGTGTTTGTTTATTAGTGTATTCTTAACAAATACAAAAAAGTTGCAAGGCTAAATTAACAAAATTCAAAAAATTAGAAATAAAAAACCGAAAAAATCCACATAAACTCAATTTTGCACGTTTAAAAAAAAACTACTAAAAACTAAAAAAACTAAACATTTTTAATATTTAGTCCAAAACCCTTATTAGCAATAATTTTGTTGACTATTTTTGGCATGCTCTCAGCCAAACTTTGAATCATTTCTTTCGGAAATTGGCTCCACTCCGCTTCTACGCGCTCCCATAAGCTGTCAATGTTCGTTGGGGCTGNTATGGGGAAATCTGGATGATTTCGGCTGAGAAGAGAAGTAGAAGAGCCAAAGTATTGGCAATTATAAAACGTGCAAAATTGAGTTTATGTGGATTTTTTTGGTTTTTTATTTTTCATTAATTGAGTTTAGCTGATTTAGCCTTGCAACTTTTTTGTATTTGTTAAGAATACACTAATAAACAAACACACAAAAAAATTTGTTGATTTGCTGGTATGGTTTAATTTTTATGCGTGATGAAAGTCAAAGTTCTGTAACATTCACTCATTTTTGCTCGGTACTGTATATATATATACATGTACGACATGTTATATTATCTGCATGATAAGATATGTTCAAGCCACAATGTCAAAGACGGCGATATTTAGGTTTTTTTTCTATTTTCCGCATAGACTGATAATCCCCGTCGTATAGTACAAATTTTGTAGTTCAGATTGAGTTTGTTTTCAGTTAGCGAATAGAATAGAGCTGCTGTGCTGTGTGTGCTTTGTGTGCTTTGTGCTGCGAGCTGTTGCATTGCTTCAAATGACAAATGACAAATGAGAAATTTCCACAGTGTTGCAAGCGTCTGTTGCGGTCCTTCAACTGCCTAATGGAGCTGCCCGTGCATCGGGGCAACAATAATTTATTCCTGGGTCTGACCAGTGTCGTTGGCCTAATCGGTGGCGCCTATCTGCTGCAATGTGGCGCTAAGCATTTGCTCAGGTGAGTCGAATCGAGTTGAGTTGAGTTGAATTGAGTTGAGTTGAGTTGAATTGGTGGACCACCAACGGGTTGCACCTGCTCCAAGTCCGATTGCTGCACGTGCAGCGAATCGCACATTCAGTTAGCTAAAACCACATGGCTAGTTGCTTTTTAAGTTACCTTTTCAGCTTGATTTTCGTTTGCAGTTACGTGTTGATTACGTTCGCGTGTTGGTCAAAAAGACATGGGAAAAATAAAGCAACTGCAAAAAATAAAACTAAAACTATCTTGGGAGCATTTAAAAAATTGCACATAAAAACTGATTTGGCATAATTGATGTCCACTAGAGTTTCGTTTGGTATACCCTGTAAGCGCGACAAAAGAGGGATATAAGAAAAAAAAAAGTTGTGGTTTAGATTAAGTAATATATTCATCAAAATTGGCATTACTGTTGATCAATTGAATTTTGCTTTGTATACCCTGATTGCATAGCTAATGGGTATATAAGCTTTTTGGCAAGGGAAGCTTGAGCCTGTTTGCCTAAAGAAGGTAATCATATTTGTTTTATACTAATATATTAAAAGAAATTTATCCTTGCCTTGCTTCTAAAGGACATATCGATAAATATCGATTACTTCAGTTACCTTAAATAAAGACTTTTGATCTCTCAAGCGCATACAACCAGCTCTTTGTAAAGTACAGGGTATCATCTGAATAATCAATCTTTTGTTTATTTTTCTTGTGACTGTTTGCTTTGTCTTATTTGGTAGCTGAGCTCAATTTTGATTTCCTTGGTCGAGTCACAAATCAAGCCGCTTGTGTAATAACTTAATTCACCAATAACTTTAATTGGTCAACAACAATTGGTTTCGCAGCTGTTGCCAATTTCGATTGTCTTTCGATTATCGTTTACCGTTAGCAAATATTTCATAACAATGTGACACAAATTTGGTATAGCGGAAATCGTTAAGAACTTCATGAGCTAACGGTCCCCATACACCCGTCGCTCCCTCCCTCTCTCCCTCCCGAATACAATAACATTTAGCAAAGAATAATATAATTCTTTGCTCCATTCAAGCTAATGAAGCGTTTGTTTATTGTGTGTTAGTAATGTATTCGTAAAGTTGCAATTGTTTAAACAATCATCAGCTGGCTTTTATACATTTTACAATGTTCGCTTTCTTAGTTGAAAAATGGAAAAAAAATGGAAAAAATAAACGAGAGACGCTTCATGCATAAATGGAAAGTCAGTCAGTCAGTCAGTTTATGCGGCATTATAATTATAATTAACGCCTGTCAACGTCACTTGGCTAAAAGTATTTTAATGCATAAGTGCGCTACACTGACAGAAAAAGAGTTGGAGATAATGAAACTATGCGGGTTTAGGTTAAAATTTGTTGCGGATGCTTTGGCAACAGGAGTGTTACATAATAAATAATTGTAATGTTAAATGCGCTTTACCTTGGACATGGAAACTTAAATAACAAGAAAGCTATTTTACAGCTAAGCATTCACAATTAAAAATATTTTTTTTAATAATATTTTTAAATCCTTTTAAATCTGCTTAAAGTTTCAAATTAATTGTGGGATTTAATATTTGTTAAGCAGTTAAGGAAGAATGCAGTAAAAACTTTTGATATTTCTTATATAAAAGGTTTTGTAAAGAGCTTTACTCATTAAAGCTTTAAATCAGTGAATAATCGATTTTATAGGTTACGAGAAACAAGCTAGAAACCCTTTCATGAATACAAGCTATAATTCGACTTGAAAAGAGTTTTAAAACCAGAGTGAAGAATGATTTAAATGTATGCAAATTTATGAATTTATATGCAGCCCATTATGCTACACATTGACATTCATTATGTTAAATACACCTGCTCACTTTAATCTAATCAAAAATAATATTTCAAGTTATTTAAGTTATTTTCACTTCTTAGAAATTTGTCTAACCTGCTTTGGCTGCAGTTAAATTCTTTAAATGTGTCTCGAAAATGAGAATCCAAACGGGTTCAATTAAGATTCAAGTCGCATAGCAAGTGAAAAGAAGCAAAAACAAAAACAAAAGCCGAGAAAAAAGTGTTACAAATGTGACAGAATTTTAATGTTTACGAAAGTGGCTAAAAAGCAGTCAAGGCAACTTTGAGAAATGCACAAAAATTAACTACGAATATTAAAGAAAAGTGTGACAAGTGTTGTCGAACCAGTCGGAACTCCAATTAAGTGTTGCATATCAGTAAAGATCCCTCAAAATGATTCGTTGCATACTTTTCGGCGTTCGCTAATTGTTGTGGAATTTCTTATAGAATAAAAAACCGATTTATATGCGCGCAAATTGCTAAGTAACATATTTGCAATTAATGTTAGCACAGCAACAACAAAAAAATTACAATGTATATCTGTAAATTGTTGTTACTTTTTTTTTGCGCTACAACAAATTAGCAACTGAGGCATTGACACTGGCATTGAGATTGAAAGTCAAGTAGTAAAACAAGCATAAAAAGTTATACACAACAAAATCTCATTGGAAAAAAAAATGATAGTTGTTCATATAAGTTATTTATAGAATTCTTCATATTATTTAAATTTTTATTTTGATCTTTATCTTTATTCAAAAACCCGTTTCATTTCGGGCGCCATTTATTAATCAGCCATCATTAGACAGACTAATAAATTAATAAATTCCATAAGCTACAATTTATTAAAAAAAAAATAAAATAAATAAAAATAAAAACTAGTAAAAAAAAATCACACGCAAAACTAATATGCATAAAAACATTTTTATTAAAATCAAAACTAGTTTGCGGAATTTTCGACAATCTTCTACAATTTCGCAATGAATAATGAAGTCGGACATTAGGAAAATCAAACGCCAGACGGACTATCAATCACCACTGAAAGCGAATACAAATTCCAGTTAGAGCTTGAGCTCGAATTAGCTTGCAGCATCAGCTGTCCAACACTGTCCAGAACTGTCAAACTTTCTACTTGCCAACAGCTGTAAGATTTCTGGTTATTCTGCTATGCTAAGGCTTCTGGCAAAACGCGTAAATTACTGTAAATCTCATAGMAAAAAAGATAACTGCAACAACAACAACAGCGCTTTAAAGCTCTTGCGTCATCAACGCGCTTGTCTATGCCCGTCTATCCGCATATGTTTAGCATTTATGTTTGTTTGTGTTTGCTTCACTCTCACTCTCTCAATGATCCACACGGTAACGCGCTCTCGCGCTGTTGCTGCGTGCGCCACTCTCCCACTGTCTCTCTCGCACTCTCTGTCCCTCTCTTGCTTTCTATGCAAAAACCGGCATGAGCTGTGTGCGTCGACGTCGCTGTCGTCGCGCGCTCAGCTGTTGGCTAGACTAGCGCGCTCAAAGCGAACTGCGCATAATAAAACCACAGCTTGTGCGAGAAAGTTGTCGGAGCGCGCCACGAATAAAAAAAAAAATAAATAAAATAGATAAAACAAAATTCGCAGTTAATTCGAATTCGAAAAAATAGTTAAATCAAATACAAAACAATTTACGGCCATGCAGCACAGTGCCAAATTAAGCAAACTGAAAAAACAATACCAGAGTTCAATAGCAAATTAAATAGAAGCTAAAGGAAATCAACATCGACCACAACAACAACAACAACAGCAAGCAGACGTGAAGCGAGTATCGGAGTTACGTTATACAGACACGGCCAGCCCGTTAGCCAGCATGTTGTTTACGTCCGGTGTAATCTGCCAAGTGGAGAAATTGCTCTGTACACCGATCAGTTTCGCTGTCTTCGCCTTCCTCTTCATGGCCTGCACCATGGAGGTGGTGCTGCTGAAGCTAACGACCAGTGCGCATATCTTTGGCCGGCCGCCCAATCAGGATGACTGGGATGAGGGCGGCCAGTTCGGGGAGGAGGATATCTACTATGAGAATCTCGAAAATAACTATGAGCACTGGGCGCGCAGGCGTCTACGCTATCATCAGCGTCAGCAGCAGTTGCTACAACAACAACAACAACAGCAGCAGCAGCAGCAACAGCAATATCTATAGACAATTGTCTCTTATTTGACTGAAATTTCTCCAATTAGACTATAAATTATTATTTTTTGTTTCGATTTCATTTGCGTCTGTATGTAAACAATTGCAAAATTTTCTGCCAATTCATTTGAAACACACTCCAAAAGAAACAAGTGAAGAAAAACAAAAATTTGTGTTAATATTTTGTGCACGTTGTTAACATTATATACACATATAGATATAAAAGTATATATGTATGTATATATACTTAATCATTTTCGAGCATTCGGTTTCAATTACGTGCATCTGTTTTTTTTTTTTTTTTTTTTTTTTTTTTTCGAGAAATTTGCATAAATTGTAAATGACTGACATAATAATCATAATACCTTTACACATAGCCCATAATCTATCAAATATCCAATACTATAAATATACGTAGACCCTATACAGGTAGCAATAAATGTAATTTTAGTTTTCTTGTATGTATATGTACATGTATGTGTGATTGTTATAAACAAAATATATATATCTACTGTTATACTGTTATACAACTCGTTCAGCGTGTCGTAAGCTGTCCTAAGTTATAATTCCAAATAAAAAATGATTGAATATTCCAGTAACTTATAGAAAAATTGCAAAATCACTTTTCACTGGTCAAAACGGGTTTATCGACGGTTTTTCTTCCGCATTTTTCCTTATGCAATAGTCACTCGAAGGAGATGGAGATGGAGGTGGAGGTGGAGATGGAGGTGGAGAAAGAGAAGGGGATAGAGTGGTATCTTAATTACAGTTTCGATTTAGTCGGTCGGAACTTGTTTTGGAAATATTGAAAACATTTAAATATTGATTTTTTCTTAACTAATTAAATAGATGCTCGCAAAGCAGAAAATTATAAATTAAACAAAAATTAGCAACACGCAGCCTTCATAGAGTTGTTTAACCTTTTGCCAAATAATTTGTATATTATCTCAAATTCTGCGTCACAAACTTAAGCAAATATTCAATGCGAAGCACTGCAGAAAGGAAAGTATGAAACAGCAACAACAACAAAWAGGCACCGAAAATTGTGTCAAGAATGGATGCTATACGCCAGTATCCAGAGTCTAAAACTAGACAAAGCCGTTCTAAAACATATTCTTGCATAAATTGATTGAACTGAAGATCAACATCGAAGAGAATAAAGACACATACATAGATATGCATATATGTATCATTTCAATAGGCATTTCATTTAGTTATTCTCAGACAAAATATAAAACTCGGAATTGTGTCAAGAATGATAGCTGCCTGAATATATTGACGGCTTCAGCCTAAATCGAGCAATTTGCATAAAATCTTGACGTTGAGAAAAGTTTTTGGGAGAGTCCGTAATATATATCTATAGACTTGTTGCCCATTTCTTTTGTTCATTGGAAACAGGCTAGAACTGTATTAAACAGCTAAATAAATTTAAAATGGATTGAAGTTGATTCACTATTTAAGCTAGTTCGTGAAAAATTTAATGTTATATTTAGTTGAAATTGTTAATATTAATCAAATTTTTTTATAATTTAATAATTAATAAATTTCTGATTTCTTATAAACTTTTAAGCTTGCAGAAAATATATATTAAATCTGGGTGAAATAAAACTTAAAAATGTTATAAAATGAACAAAATATAAATAATTATTAATATATGT